AAACATGACAAAGGATAGAAATCATCAACCCATAAGTGAGGGCAGAGAGGAGTACATTCCATGGTTAGGGGACCTGAGAATCAAAGGAACTCCACAGGGGGGTGATGGAGGGCACCGAGGGAGACACAGAAGGCAGGGGTGGGAGCAGTTCAGGAGGCCTTGATTTGCAGAGTGGTGAGCACTGGATGTAAGAAGTGAGAGCTCCTTTCCCAGCCTTAGACCTTAGATTGACTTCTCATTACTAGGCTATTGAATTCTTCAGCCGCACCAGCCAAGGGGTGCCAAACATTCATGTTAATTTAGGTAAATCCTAAATCCTTCCAGCAATCTGCTATCAACTTGAGTACAATGACAATTAGCATATCAATTAGATTTCTCTCCTCTCTCTCTCTCTGCCCCACCCCACCTCCATGCCACTCCCATCCTAAACCACTTACTACTTTTAAAAGTCAGCCAAGCCTGTAATGTCAGCTACTCCTGGAGGATCACTTGAAGCCAGGAGTTCAAGACCAGCATGGGCAACATAGCAAGACCCTGACTTTAAAAAAAATTTTTTTTTTTTAATTAACTGGGCCTGGTGGTCCACGCCTATAGTTCCACTTAGCTATTTTGAGAACTGAGGCAAGGGGGTTGACTGAACTCAGGTGGTTGAGGCTGCAGTTAGCTATGGTTGCACCACTATACTCCAGCCTGGGCAAGAGAGAAAGACACTGTCTCCAAAGAAAAGTCAATAACACTAACACATCTCCTTTTCTTCAGTCTCTGAGAGCTTTGCAGCCAGAACTCTACACCAGGGTGGGTTACTATGGGAATAATAACCAGTGAGACAAAAGATGGTTCTTAATTCACTTTACAAATCAGCAGAACAAAAGGGAAGAACCATTGCTTTATTTCCAATAGGCCAAGGTGACCTCCAACTCCAAATAACACAGGTTGCTTTTAATGAATGAAACACATGTAAGAACCAGTGTAGCCAGAAAGAATTAGACCCAGACATCCTGGGTCTTAATCCTGGCACTACCACTTGCCAGTCCCAAGTTTCTCAACATCTTTCTGCCTCCACTTTCTGATCTCAGTAGGCTGGACAATGGGGATCTTTTGAGGAGTCGCTGTGTTAATATAAGTAAAGCAAGTACAATGTCACCAGCAGCAGGTGGTGAACAACTGTAAGACAGGTTGTGTGTGCTCATGAACAAACAGGAGCCCTGAGGATAACCTGCCCAAGGTTTGCTTGTTTTTCTGTTCAATACCAGTTTTATTGAGACATATTTAGCATACCATAAAGCTCACCCGGTTAAGATATATGATTCCCTGGTTTTGGGTATATTTACAGAGAGTTACGTAATCACCAACACTATCTAGCTCTAGAGCATGTTCATCTTCCCCAAAGCAATTCTATACCCATTAGTGGTGACTCCCCATTTCCTCCTGCCCCAGCCCTAGACAGCTTCTAATCTGCTTTGTGTCTCTATGGATTTGAGTTTTCTGGACAGTTTGTTCCATTTCATGGAATCATACAACATGTGGCCTTGTGTGTCTGGAACTGTCTTGAGTTTGAATCTCAGCCCTAGAGTCCTAAAGCTTTATTAGGTTCTTTCCCTAAGTTGTCCTGAAGTTTCCCCATCTATGAAGTGGAATTAAAACTATAGTAGATATCCTACAGAGTCATTATGAGGATTAAATGTGCTGATTTATACATCTAAAGTACTCACACCAGGCCTGGTTCAAAATCAGCGCCACACTGATACCAGCTACTATTACTGCCACTGCTACAATTATTATTCCTCAGTTCCCCTGTCCCAAAGCATCCAACTGGTAGTGGGAATCTACAGATAAACGGAACAAACAGAGAAAAGAGGTCTTGCCTTACTTAACGCACAGTCTGATGGAGACCGTACAATTAGGACTGGCTTAAATGAATACAGTGAAGTCTCATCATATGCACATTTAACTAATGGAAAGCCAGCTCTTCCACCAAAAAGAGAGAGAAAAAGAACAATGTAAATACTGCAATTAAATGCTATAAAATTATATCTTGCATATATTCTTTATTATGCTGTGTACATTACTGCATACATTATACATTGTTCCCTATTGATTACAATATGGGGATGCATACACTAAACCATGCCCACTGCACACTTTAATGGGTAACTTAAAAGATTTCAAGGTTAATGACAACTGTGTTTGCCTTAAACCCTGACCTTACAGTCTAACCTCTGAGTTAAATGCAACTCTATTGTGTGTCAACAATAGCAATTCAGAATTTTTCCAGACGAATTAAATCAGCCAACAAGCTGTCCACTGAGTTAGGTGTTAGGCTACAATGGGTGCCAACTCATCAACACCCATTTGCCAAGCACCATTTTTTTTTTTTTTTTTTTTTGCCCTCCATGAGCTGTTAGCTTCATTTCAAAGATAAACCACATAGGGGTGTCATAAGGAGTTGGTGAATGGAAGAACTGGGTTTCGTAAGTAGATGGAAGTAATCTCTCACCCTCCAGCCAACAGGGAAGGCAAGTGCCATGACCTTTCCCTGTCGCTGTCGACACCCTTGCCTGCTTTCTCATTCTTCCTGGCACTCATCACCCTCCTGCAGACATCACATACCTAGCTGTTCATTTTTGTATTGTCTCTCCCCCAGCCATTACATAAGCTCACGAGGGCAGGGGCTTGGCCTGTGTTACTCATTTCTGTATTCCCAGTGCCTAGAAAAGTGTTGAGCAGTCAGTCAGTGCTGAGTAATATTTGTTGATAAATGACTTAATGTGTGAATGAGGGTAACTGTTTAGACAGCCTCCACTTTTCTCCCATCTCCTGTCCCTAAAACATCCATAGTTCATTCCTTTGACTTCAACTGGCTTATTTACTCAATGTTGAAAAGTATTGAGAATATATCACATGTCAAAGATGAGGCCCTAAGGTAGCATGCTAGGGCTTTGGCATACTGAGGTACCATCTAGTGGGAAAGAGAATATCTGCAGGTGGGTGCTTAACCAAATTCAGAAGGTTTTAAAAACTACCCCTACCGTAACTCTCTCTGTTACCCATTAGCTCTACTGAGGAAGTTTCCATTAATGCGTAATGGTGGCAAGAGAAGTCTCGCATATTCACGCCCTACCCAGGGTATATACTGACAGTCCAACAACTTGCCATACCTTTCCATTTTTCCTGCTATGATGCTTCCAAAGTCATGGCTTCTCCCTGTGACAGCAAAGACTCAGCAGGGAAGCACAGAGAAGTTAATGATGGCAGGGGTCACTCCTGCCCAGCAGAAGATAAGGGCAGGTGAATACACCCCCAGCCAACTATTCTGCAGAGGGGTCATTGTGAAATGAGCTTTACACAGTGCTTTTGTAGAGACCCAGCAGCAATGAGTCAGTTTCCCATGACTGTGACTAGCTCAATGACACATTCACTATTGGCTTGTCGGCTTTCCTTCTTCTGGGTCTCACTCTCCCCACTCACTCACTTATGGGCCTTGAGATCATTTCCCAACTTAGCCCCCTGAACCCAATTCTGTGTCTCTATTTCTTTAGAGGAATTCAATCCAAGAGAGTGTTTAACCCCAAGATACTTTTGGGTAGCAAGAGTGCCTTAAAAATTGTAGTCCAGATAATTATTACAAAGCTAAATTATTCCTATGTTAGAGCTAGTCTGAGAATTATGTTCCATAGTTGACTACCAACATCTTTACCTTGATGCAAGTTAATGTGAATAATCTCATGATATGTGACCCTAAAGAAGTACTATGATTTTCATGGTAACTAAGGCCAAAGAGAATGCCTGATCCCCTTCGCTGGCCTCTGCCCTATCCCTGTTTAAACAAGCTTGACCAGCTGGTAAGGGAGCTACTGGTTTAGATTAGTGGTTGGCAAACAGCAGCCTGAGGGCCAAATCTAGCTCTGCTTGTGTTTGTAAATAACATTTTATTGCCCTGCCCATTCGTTTACATATTGACTGTGGCTGCTTTCATGCTACACTGATAGAATTGAATAGTTGCAAGAGAAACTAGCTAGATATCTCATTACAGAAGAAGGATACCTACCCTGGTTTATATCATTGGTTGCCATGTTTATAAATTCCCAACAGTAAAATTTGAACACAAACAAAACGTAGAGAGTTGACAAAAGTTGACCAACAACACTTTATCAGTAAGGACAAAAATGCCATCTAGGTATTACTAACTTCATTTCACAAATGGTAGCACATTTCATCTCTACACCATAGAAAGGCCATTCCATCAGAACAAAGAATTCTCTATCCCAAGAGAGGGTGGTGGACAAGCTCAGAACAACTCTATCACTCTATCCCATTTGAACATTTGTCTACAGCACTATCACTACGCAAAACTACCATATTTATTTATTTTTCTTGTTTATTGTCTTTCTCCGCTATGAGAACACAGACTCCAAGGAGGGAAGGCAATCTTGCCTTTCTTAATCACTGCTGCCTCCCCCAATGCCGAGAACTGTGCTTGAGATATTGTCTTCCCTCAGTAAATATTTGTTAAATGAATGAGTTAACCAAATAGGGAATGCACAGATAGGCACGGCCACCGAGTGGCGGGACGGTGCACAGAGTGGTGAGGACCCTGTCAAAGGGGAGAGTGTCTGTCCACCAGAACGGGCTTGGAGGGCAAAGGCCATGCTCTTGCTGCTCTGTGGCCAGTATGGAAAACAGAGCTGGGTACATAATAAGCACTCAATATGTGTTTGCTGAATCAATGGCAACCCTCACTAAAGCACTTAAAAGGAAAAAAACACTGGTCTGGTAAGACAAAAATAAACTTCAAGTTAGATTCAATCCAATTGCCACACCGTATAGATCCATGTGTCTCTACATAGCGACAGGCTGTATATTTCTTGTTTTCTTTTTGTTTGGGGAAAACATTACAAAAAGTAACTTGCATAAAGCACTGACTTAGGCAACAGGGTTTCTTAGCACCCCTAGGGAAGAATGCCATCCAGCTGCAGGACACAGCAGCAGGCAGAATTTACCTGCATGGTTGAAGTTGCAGGTGAGCCATGCCCAGGCATCTGTGGGCCATTCTCACTGGGATGTTCTTGCTGGGGAAACCATGCAGTGCAGGTGGGTTTTTTGGCCCTGGTCAAAAGCAAGGACCCAGAGACAAAGAACACAAACGACCCTGGGCTAACCCAGTTCTGAAGGTTGCAATCAGGAGCCCAGACAGGAAGCCCAGGGCCCAGATCCACTTTGAGAGACCAGGAACTCAAATGACAGGTCATCCCAGGCAGCTATCTTGACTTTAAGGGAGCTGGAGATCAAAATAGACAAAGGAAATACTTTTTATATAATGAGGGGAGTGGGAAAGGAAACTTTTATATACTGGTGCAACATAGAGGAAAATAAATATGCACAGGAATAAAGATGTATGGGTACAAACCATGGTCCCAGTTCTCAGTGACTGTGTGGCCTTGAGCAAATGACTCTACCACTCAGAACTTCTCATCATATATAAAATTGGGAATAAGAGTCGCCTCTAAGGGTTGCAGGAAGGATTCCAGATAACATGGGTAACTAGTACATAGCAGCTACAGTAAATTGTGGTTACATGGAGGGACTTTTAAAAAGTATTCATGGCACCGGTGCATGCATTCGTGCACACACACACACACACACACACACACACACACACACACACATTGCCCTAATAGAGCTTCCTGGGAACAGCTGATGGGCACATACATTAAGAAGATGAGATCCCAATTTTTTTAGCAAAGACTTGGAATCAACCCAAATGTCCATCAGTGACAGACTGGATTAAGAAAATGTGGCACATATACACCATGGAATACTATGCAGCCATAAAAAACGATGAGTTCATGTCCTTTGTAGGGACATGGATGCAGCTGGAAACCGTCATTCTCAGGAAACTATCGCAAGAACAGAAAACCAAATACCGCATGTTCTCATTCATAGGTGGGAATTGAACAATGAGATCACTTGGACACAGGAAGGGGAACATCACACACCGGGTCCTATTGTGGGGAGGGGGGAGGGGGGAGGGATAGCATTAGGAGATATACCTAATGTGAATGACAAGTTAATGGGTGCAGCACACCGACATGGCACATGTATACATATGTAACAAACCTGTACATTGTGCACATGTACCCTAGAACTTAAAGTATAATAAAAAAAAAAAGGAAGATGAGATCCCACCAGATCAAATGATTTTATGAGGCATGAATCCCCAGGGGAACAATCTTGGGGGACCTACTAATATGGGAATTGGCAAATCCTCCCTGGGGAGCAAACTATTTTTTTTTAATGTCCATGCATTAGAAAATACACAGTCATTTCCCCCCTTAAGTTAGTCACACCCTGAAAGCCAAGGCCCCATGACACCTTTAGATCATAAACTTCCTTGGGGAACAGGTTGAAAAGTAATACAACCAACATTTCTTAAACATAGGATGGCATCATTAGCATACACTTATTTAATTCTCACAAAAAACCTGCAGTGCAAGCACAGATTTTCCTTTTCAGTTGTTTTACTACAGGGGAAAACAGACAAGGAGGGAAATGAAGTCACTTATCTGAGGCAACCCAGTGTGTAAATGGCTGGGTAGGGATTCAAGCTCACTTCCAAAGGGCTAGGAGGTCTCCCTAATGCCCCTAAGCAGTCCAAGGCACCAGCAGCTCTGGGTCCAGGCAGCCCCTGGCTCTAATTCTGCTCCAGCGCATTTCCTGGTGAGGGCCAGATTGCTATGCTCACCTCTGGGTTCCCAGATTTGCAGCATTCTTCATACCTGGTAGGTATTCACATTTAAGGGAAGAAGGAAAAAAAAAGACGGCAGAAAGAGGGAGGCAAGGCAGATGAAAGGAACTAAAGGAGGGCACAGCAGCCTCTCCTCCCTTTACTGTATTTCAGCCTCTACTGTTTCCTATTGTAACAATTACCACATTTGTAATTATTTCAACTACTTACTTGTTTTTAATCTGCTGCTCCCACAAGACTGTAAGCTCCATGAGACATGGATTCGGTTCATCTTGTTTACCTCTGAATTCCCTAAATGCTCAATAAATACTTGCTAAGTGAAGACACGGGCCCCAGGTGGACTCGCCCACACACAGACCCAGGTGCAAATCCCAGCTCGCCACTTGTTATTCTGTGATCTTGGGCCAGTTCCTTAAACTCACTAGTTTCTTCATCTGTTAAAAGGGCACAGTAACTATACAGACCTCACCTTCTGAGGATAAAGTACCTAGGAGAGTGCCTGGCATACAGCACTCACTAAATATCTTTGTTGAGGAAAGCAGGAAGAAAAGAAGGGAAAGACAGCAGGAAAACAAGATAGACACGTTCAGAATCAATACTGCCACAGAACGCAATAATCTTTCATACTGCAAAAATATGCAGAACTGCAAGAAGCAGAGGTACACCCTCTGTTTCTCACACATCAAACTTCATTCAGGGGCTGAGTCAAACTCACTAAGTATTTTTACAGGGCCCACTTAGACAGCTGTAGAATCCTGGCCAAAGGACCTGTTTCCTTGTAAGTGATAATGATTTAGATAACCTGCATGCATCTTTGCAGCAAATTAGACTTCCCTGCATTCTAACATCTTTTTACTCACTTGAACCTCCAAGAAACAGATGAAAACATTGAAGCTGCTTGCTGAAGATCACACCACGAGTGAGGGGGTGAGCTAGAAACAGGATCCAGGTCCATGGTGTGCTGGAGCCAGTTAGTATCAGGTAGCAAGAGCCCATTGTTACATTTTTAGGAAACCCTCAGGTTAGTAGATTCAAATTGCCCATGTTGGGAGTATTTACACCACAGAAATTGGCAAGAGCTACAAATTACTTGGTTGTATCTTCGTTTGGGTTTTGCTTTTTGGTTTGGGTATTTCTTTAGAGTGGACCCGTTGTTAAACATTTACCAATATACCACTGCCTGGCACCCAGTTGAATATTCTCCTACTACACCAAAAACATAAGTCACCAAAGCTACACCCAACATGCTGAAACAGAGGCTCATTAGCATTCACAAAGTGATTGCTGAGGGTAGGAGATCATTATTTGCTTCATGTAAGAATTATTTCCATTGCTGCTGATGGAATGTTCAAGAAACGATTAAAGGGCTTGGCAATGTTTCTCTCAAATATCTTGTGCATGAAAAGTCTCAGAGATTGGTTAATTATAGGGGCTGCACCTCGGTCACTTTATTCAAGGGCATTTCCAGGCCCCCACAGTGGCCATCCCAGATGCAAGCATGGACTGGATCTGCTGGAAATACTGTAATGCAGGTCTTAGGTGCCTCTCCCAGAAACGTTCTGCAGCCTGGATTCCACTCCCATGTAGAGAAACCCTCAGACCGACCCTGTTTACAATGTCTAACACCTGGTCTCCTTGTTTGACTCTTCCTGCCAATTGGAAGAGTCAGAACTCAAGCTGGCATCCTTAACCTCTCCCCGGCCCTGCCATCTCCATAACCAGCCACTGTCAAGGCCTGTCAAGTTATCCGCCTATATGTCTCTTGGATTATCTGAATAGGATTTAGTCCATTCTCGCATTGCTATAAAGAACTGCCTGGGACTGGGTAATTTATAAAGACAAGAGGTTCAATTAGCTTGCAATGCTGCATGCTGTAGAGGAAGTATGGCTGTAAAGGCCTCAGGAAACTTACAACCATGGCAGAAGGAGAAGGAGAAGGAGGCATGTCTTCACACAGCAAGCAGGAGAGAGGGGGCACAAAGGGGGAAGTGCTATACACTTTCAAACAACTAGGTCTTGTGAGAATTCACTCACTATCACGACAACAGCAAGGGGAAATCCGCCCTCATGATCACCTAATCACCTCCCACTGGGCTTCACCTTCAACATTAGGGATTACAATTTGACATGAGATTTGGCTGGGGACATAGACCCAAACCATAGCAGTCTACTTCGCTCATGTGCCCCATCTCTGTACCATCATTCCTGAATCCAGCATCCAATGATCTCAGCCCTAGACCAGACTTTCCTTTCCATTCTTACCCAGCTCCAACCCATTTGCTACCTGTAGCCAGAATGCAAATCTGATCACGTCACTCTGTACCTTTCCCTCATTACCCTCAATGGCTGCCACTTGCTCTGAGAAAAACACCAATATCCTTGCAGTGGTTGACAAGGCCCCGTTGACTCTGGCACCTCCAGCCACACTTCACACCACTGCCTTGGCTGTGTGGTGTTTCCCCTGAATAGAGGCTTCACCCAGACTGTGTCTTCTTCCTGGAATGCCTTTCCCCACCCACGCCCTCTATTGTGTCTTTGTCTGGAAGCCCTACTGCTCCTCCAGATTTGGGCTCAAGCATCAGGTTGTCAGGGAAGCTGCCCAGATCCTTCATCTGCCTCTGATGTCTTTCTTGTATTCATTCATTCATTTGTTCATTCATGTTTGCTGAGTATCTACTATGTGCCAGCCACTGTTCTAAGCCCTGGGAGTATAGAAGTGAACAAATCAAGCCATAATGTGTGCCACAACGGAGCTTATAGTCTAGTGGAGGAGAAAGACAAAGAACACCTAGGCAAAATATTTAGGATGGCATGACCTCACACAGCTGGGCTTCCTTCCCTCATCGTGGTTGTCTCCATCTTAAATTATTCATTAATTGCTATTGATCCTTCCTGCCAAGCTGTGAGCCCCGAGAGAGCAGAGACTCAGTCTGCCTTATTAGCAGCTATATCCTGAACACACAAGTGGTGCTTGGAACATAGTAGGTCCTCCACAGAGATCATAGGTATTTACTGGAGCCATTTGGTCTCAGGTGAATCTCCCTGAACTCAAGTTGCTTGAGTGCTTGGGGCCTGGGAGGAAAAGTCCCTAATGGCTGAACTTCTCAGGCCCCCCCTTATATGAGAAGACTCCCAGAAGCCTCTTTGGCTGTAACTTTAAGTTAGATAAAGACTCAGGAAACTTTTTCTCTAAGGGACTAAATAGTAAATATTTTCAGCTTCGGGGGCCAGACAGTCTCAACTCTGTTGTTATAGCACAAAGGCAGCCATAAACAATTATATAAATGAATAGGTGTGGCTATCATCCAATAAAACTATTTATAAAACCAGGCTGCAGGCAGAAATTGGCTCACAGGCCATA